GGGAGGGCGAGGGGGGCGCCCCAGGATCCGGCGGGCTGGGATCTTGGGGAAGGCCGTGCGAGACGGAGCTGGCTTTTGGCTCCGCTGAGGGGCCGTCACCGGGAGCTGCTCTGGTACGGCATCCCACCGTCACGTGCCTGCCGCACCGTTTAATATCTCATTAATGATCAATCCGCTGTGCAGCTCGGGAATACCGGTCAGTAAACAGTAAGATCTTCCCCTCATTTCCGTGTACTTCTGTGTAAGCACCGTTATTTAATTTTGCTTAAATTTATAAAGATATGTGTTAAGCAGACTGTTACTCTGACCGGGTACCTTTTTTTCCCTGATAATCACCCAGCTCTCTTTAAGGATGAAGCGACTCTCTCTCACTTTGCTAACCTGTGTTTATGGTAACTTCTTAATTTAGGTTTTGCAGGAAGTGCTTCTTGACAGCTATCAGAGAAAGTGGAACGCATTGTCCTCTCTGCCGGGGGAGCGTGACTAAAAAAGAAAGGACGTATCCCAAAAGGGCTCTAGATGTTGAAAACAGTATGAAGAAAGCTTCTGGGGGCTGTAGATGCTGTGAGAAGCAGGTAGAGTAAAACTTTACAAAAAGTTGGGTAAATTTTTCTTACTTTTCATCAGACACACTTCTCCCGTGTGTCATTCTTGTCTTGGAGCTAAAGAGACTGTAGCAGTTTGAACTTCGCTTTGTAGGGCTTGTGCGTATACTAGGCATGCAGTGCCTGCTAGCTATGCTTAACAGGCGTAAACTGAAAGAGAGCCTTGTATTATCTATAAGGGCTTTTCAAGTGGAGTGCCAGCTTTTCCCCCAAACAGTGTGAAAACTGGATATAGCTATAAAACTGGCAAAAGAAAATTTGGACAACTGAAAATGAAAGTTGCAGATATATGGAAAATCTCAGAAACTTTCACTGTGGAAATGAACGTGCTTAGAGCTGCTGTAAAATTTAAGTTAAAACTGAAAAACATGGGTTGATTACTCTCAGGATGCATACAATCACATGTAATTTTCTCCTGCCCCATCAGTCTGCTTACATTGCCTGCATTCCCTTTTTAGGGGGGTCATTATTTTCAGAATGTTGGGTGAAATCTTGACCCCCACTGAAATCGAAAGTAGTCTGTTTCCTGGTATAAATGGATGCAGGATTTCAGCCAGACGCTTTGTTTACCTCGAATTGCGTCAAATCCAGGTAGTCTTCATGTTTGTTTCATTCCACTTGGGACTTAGCTCTGCCAGTGTGAAGATTAGCGCTAGTGGAAAGCTGAGCTGCTTGCTTTGTTCCAGACGATTCATTAGGATGAAAAGCTGGGAGAAAGAAACGACAGCAAGTTGGTAAACTGGAAGGAAGAACCAAGTGGAACCCCAGAAGAACTTTAATGGAAGTTAGGCACAGGCGTGTGAGGTGTGATCTTGCTCAGCCTCTAAATCTGTGAGCACTTCCTGACAGTGCTGTTGGACCTGAGATTCTGATTTAGGGCATGTCCATCACAGCTGTCTTCTGACAAATCTAAGCAACTCATTGTCTTACCTTGCGTTTAAGGTGGACAGGCAGCCTTAAGCCGGTGTTCATTCACCTCTTTCACTTTTTTTTTTTCCTCCCTCCCCTCTCAAAGAGAAAAAGTTATGTCTTCTCAGAACACGTCTAATGCAAAAAGATTTTACTCTGTACAAGGTAACAGCAGGCCAGAGAAGACTGAAGGAGCTGTGGTGCGTATCCCGTCCTCACGGCCCCTCTCTGTTGTAGCTCACCAGTTACTGATCCTGGATGTGGGAGGTGTAGTTCCTGTGACTTTGTTTCAGTTAAACGGAGTTCACTCACACCTTTCGCCCCTGAGAGAGCTCTCAGATGCCTGGCTGTTGGGAGCTTGGGGAGTGGGAATGTTCTTTAGTCTCACAGAGCGGCAGAAGCTCTATGGAAAAAGGAGTCGAAGATCTCCTGTTGGGGAAGAAAGTGTTCATGCTGAGAGGGGAGACACAAGTTCTGGTTTCTGCTGCTATGATGTCTGCATAATTCCTGCATGCATTGCTTTCTGTTGGCAGAATTATCTCTTCCTTCTGTCCCTGGATTGTTTAGTATAATGTCAATAATTTGGCATTTCATTTACAGGTTAGATTTTCGTGGATGAGACAGCACTATAAAACATGTAAGAAGTATCAGGATGAATATGGTGTTGCTTCTATTATTCCAAACTTACAGATTTCTCAAGATTCAACAGGGAACAGGTAATCGGGGGCGTTTTATGTATAACGATGCATCTTCGTCTTCTTCCCCTCGCCCCGCCCCAGGAAAGTATTTTTTTTCCAGGGCATGCTTTCTTTTTTGCAATAATTATTGTCCATATTTTTGTGCTTCAAAAAATGACAGTTTTTCCAGGTCTTTTTCTTTACTCTTAGCACACAGAAGAAAACCTCTCTGCATGATACTTTGGAATGTCTTCTAGGGACTCTCCTAAAAAGTGTGTAGTATTAATAGCTTGCTTTCCTTGCCTTAACAGCCTTTGAGCAGCTTACTTTGTAACATATTTCGTAATATTTAGCCCTGGGCAAGTTCCCTTCGCTTTTTATTCTCCATCCCCTTTTCTGAGTCTGTTTTAGTGGGTATCCTGTTTCAAAACATTATTGTGCAAGCTTTTGCTTTCTGATCAAATTTATTTTGAACTGATCTCTTATGAAACGTGTAAGGAACACACGTGTGTAACACACACCATAAAATACAAATGACACCATTTGTTTTCAGACAGTAAAGCTAAAGAGCTTTCTGTTTCATACCTTCTCACTGATGTATTTGGTTTGATTAGGGATTTTTGCTCATTTTTGAAGGCCTTTTTTTACATATTCATTTATTAGGGCTTTATTATATATAGCCTGTCCTTTATGTGCTTTCTTTTGACATCTATTTTCTGTTTTTAGCAGTCTGAACTCTGTGTTTGGTTTTCAACCTATCAGTGTTTTGAAAGCAGAAGTTTAAGCTATTACCAGAACTAGCTGCAGCAGTGTTTCACCGAAGTGCCTGGATATTGTTATATCACTATTTATTGACTATGCCACAAGAGAATACCTGTGCTTGTGGTACTACAGAAGTATAAAAAATGTACCGTCACCAGATTTGTGACTGCAAGTATTCATGTTTTTGGGATGATCAGCTTGCCTGAGCAGTTTCTTCTGGCTTAGCTAGAGGTGCATTGATAGTCAAAGTTACTTTCTAAAACATTTCTGTCTGTCACTCTTACTGTAGGAAATAAATAGTTTATTTTGTGCTCAGCATAAGTAAACTTATCTTGCTGTAGTAGAAAGTTGTAAATTATTTGTGTGAACACAAAGCAGTTAAATGCTTATTTGTATACTACTAAGTGAAAAAACTTCCAAAGTGCCGGATGTCTTACAGTCACATGGTTCATAATGAACTACTTGGCTGTAATCTCCATTACCATTCTTGTTGGCTAAATGTTTGTTGTATTATATACCACTTTCCTATAAAGTTGTGTGGTATTCCACTAAGGGTCACCATAGTAACTAAAGACTGATACATACCTTGATCCAAAGGAAAGGTCGTGAGAGTTAAAATATGTGCTATTGTGTGTTTTGCCTTGAAATTCATGGGACACAATGGATTCTGCTCCCCCTGCCCATTACTGCTAAACTTTAAAAAATTTTGATAATGGAGTAAATTAATTTCAATTTTCATTGTTTTTTTTACTTCATTTAAAGTAGCAGGAGTGATGCAATATCTGATAATGGCGAGATGGCTAATGATCAAATACTTCAAGGAGAAACAAGGTAGGGTGCTTATTTTTCTATAATTATTAAAATAAATCCAGCAGTCATAGTGCAAGCTTCTACTAACTTTAAAAAAAGAGCCCAGACAAACACCTACAATAAGTTGTATTGAAAAAACCCTGTAGTTTCTTCTACATTTGCATCTATACATTAGAACTTCATTTTTTTCAGTACTTTCGTGAAGGATTTGCACTAAAAGATGTTCCCAGTAAGTAAGGACAGAGAGCAACTACAATTGGAACAAAAGAATCTTCTGAAGTCCAAGTCTCAGAAGAATGCATTTAGGTTCACAAATAATAAACGTGTTTTCAACTTGAAATTTGGAAGTAGCACTGGAACTCCGTTAGGTCTGCTGCTATGTCAGTGAGAGTGGGGGTTTTTTGTTCTTAGCAAAGTAAGGGAGAATAATGACAAGATAACAGATGGATTAAGCTTTCTGTAACACAGCTTCTGAAACTCTTCTGTTTAATACTGTCTATTTCTGTTTACAGTGGACACCCAACCTTCAAATGCCCCCTGTGTCAGGAAGCCAATTTTACCAGACAACGCTTGCTGGATCACTGTAATAACAGACATCTTTATCAGATAGTTCCTGTAGTAAGTAGAGTTGCTTAAGTACGTTTCTTAAGCTACTTTCCTTATAATTATGTGAGCAACTTTAGATCTGTAGTAGCTACTCTGAATCTGTAAAGGCCAGTGTGGTCTGAGAAGGACAGTATACTTAATGCAGCGCATTTAGCTTGAGGAGTGACCTTCATGTGAAAATGTTTCTTGTCCAGCTTCTTGTTGATTCTAAAGCATTTCTGACTTAGCTGTCTCCTTTATCTTGATGTGAAAGAATCTCATTTTTTGAGCCTTATACTCTTCTTCATTTAGTAATTCAGATCTGTTTCTATAGAATCCCATTTGTAATGCAGCTATTTGTTTCGTGTGAAACCTAGAGTTACTTGCAAGGCCAGCTGAGGTAATCAAAGGGACTGAAGGAGAAAAATCTGTTTGGTTTTCTAGTCTTTTCGTCTGTATAGGGTGTGTTGTTTTTTGTTTCAGCTTACTTGATCATCTCAATTGTATAAAAATTCTCCCAAACAATAAGATGCAGTAATCACTTTCTTTTCTAAATTCTAAACAACAGAAATTTACAAAAAGAGTACCAGACAGACATAGTAATCCTCCATTCCTAAGAGAAACACTTAAGAAATTTGGCAAGTTGAAATATAATTTTTGAATGTTACACAGATGAGGAAAAGAGCGCTTAGAACTATGATTTTATGTGAATGTCTCTACTGTATTTTGGTAGTAGATGAGTAACAGACTAGTTATTCCTGTAGAATATGTCTTTAATGCATTCTGTATTACCAATAACCTTTTTTTTAATTCTCTCTCTTTTCCCTTCCTCTCCAAATTCAGATCTGTCCTATTTGTGTGTCTCTTCCTTGGGCAGATACTAACCAGGTTACTAGAAATCTTGTTAGCCATCTGAATCTAAGACATCGGTTTGACTACGGAGAATTTGTGGTAAGCTTTCTCTACTTTGATGCGTAGGGGAATAAACGGTAACTTTCTGGTATAAATAAAAATGCCAAATCAAAAATTTGTACCAAACTTGTATTTGCTCTGGACATGCTATGTTCCTGCTCTGTACAGAACTCAGGAGTAGGCCTGTCTGTTCTTAAACTTACCCTTATCAACGTGAAGTGCTACTGGGAACAGGTTTTGTCAACAGTTAAGCTCTGCTCCAGACCAATGACTGAAGTCTTTAGCTTAGTGTTCTCTATCTGAGCTATTTGTTCCTCTGGAACAGCTAATTACTGTTGCTTCTGGGGGAAATAAAATAGATGTTACTCTGTTATATTGATGTTTTTGACCTTTTATGGCAGAAACAGCTAAATCATAATTCTCGGGCTTCAACGTGCAGCTTGACTAACTGGCACTGCTGCTGCAGCCTCTCTTCCAGTATGTGGTGAGAGAAGCTGCAACGTGAAAAAGAGATGTCTTGTTAAGTCATTGTTCTGGTTGCCTTCTTTCGGGCTCACTTTGAGTAAATGACTGTGGAGTGGGTGCAGAACTACATACACATATGTAGTCTCTGGGTGGACCGTAAGTGAAGCCAACCAGTTGAATTCTGCATGTGGGACCAGAGGGCTGGAGCATTTGTGTTGTAGTTTATGCAGAGGTTGCCAGTCTTTGGGGTATACTGCTTGTGCTTTGTGTGGGACAAGTGTGGTATTTGAGGCACAGGCAGCTTCACTGGTTACAGATGGCAAAGATGATGCATGATGTTCTTTGTGTTGAGTGATCTGTGACAAAGGCAGGAAGAGCTAGGAGACTGATACAGAAGATTGAGCTCTTCAGCGTGAGTGCGTCTTGCATATTTGACGTTGTAGAACTGGTGATTGGAATTCTGATTTGAGGAAGCTGCCAGAATTGCGCTAAAAAGATGTATTACTCTGGCATATTAACAACTTGGAAGATAGCTCTTTGAAAGTAGCGGGGTTAACCACCCATCTTTTGTGATACATGTTTGCTTTCTCATTTTGAGCAGTATATTCTCAACAATCTATGATTACTGTTGTCTAGGGATGACATTTTGTTTTTATTAATGGAGGATGTTATGGCTGGTTGGAAACCCTGTTACAAGAATTGCGTGACAGTCAGCTTTCCTGAGCTGGCTGTTCTGTAATGTAATTGAGCCAGGGAGAGAAGATGGACCCTTCTGCTTAATGAGCCTTGTCCTACTCATCTGATTCTTCTCCTGTCTCATGTATCTCTTGGTACTTGGTTGAATAAAAGATACCGTGCAACATAAACAAGCATCCGGTACACATAAAGATGGAGAGTCTTCATCTAGGTGCCAATTCCTCTGTAAAAATGTGGAAAATGAATGACTAAACTAAGGACTGTGGTACATCTTGAGTATTTGTCCATTTTGATGATGTTTTCATTTTGTTTAGAATCTTCAGCTTGATGAAGAAGCCCAATACCAAAATGCAGTTCAAGAATCCTGTCATGTGAACTTTTAAAGTATAGCCCCCCTTCATCTTACTGATTATCTGAGAGAAAAATTACATTAATTCTGTTGGTGACCTGAAGTATGTATTAATAAAGATGGTATTCAGTAACCACTTTTCAGGATTAACTTCTTTCCACGGTCATAAGGACTTTTCATATATGATTTTGCTGAAACTCAAACTTCACACCTTTACTAAGATCTGTCCCTGTGGAATTGGGGACCTTTTTGGAACTTCTCACTGTTGTCTTGATTTTCTCTAACTTCTACTATGCTGTTAACCACATGGTTTCTTTTATTAATGTCAGGTATTTTAATTCACCAAAACCAACTTTGAAAGTAGTATCTTTCTAAAGACATGCAAAGATACTGTGTTGCACTGTTAAGTTTGTTGAAGTTCGGCTGTCATCTGCTAAGATGTCTATGAGACGATAATTTATTTTTTTTTCTCCTGCCCGAGGACAAAGTTTTATTTGATGCTGTGATTTGTTTTTTGCCATTACTGTACGAATGAAAATAGTAACAACTTGAGATGAAAATATTTGTTTTCTGTAGATCAACAGTCCTGAGCGGGTTTTTTTTCTCATCTTTCATTGAGAAAGAATGATACCATTGCCTAGGAATAATTACATCTATTTTTTCCCCTTTTGGAGCATAATTGAAATAGGACACTTGCTTAGTGAAGTGATGAGTGAGGAGTTTTCCCTGTGCTTGCAACTACTAAGGAAGATGGTCCCCCTGACATACTTTTGAGCAATTTAGGATGACATGCAAAAGGTAGACTTTTTTGGTATATGACTGACCAGCTAGTTTCTCATTTTGTTGGAGCTTTTTAAGAACTTCTGTTGTTGCATTTGGAATTCAAGTTTTGGTGTGTTCTGTCCTTTCGTGGAAGGCTGTGTAACTAGAGAACCAACTGGCTTCAGACCTACCAACACTCAGAAATGGACTTATTTATTTTGGTAAGACCATTTAAAACTTGGACATCTCATGCATCCAAAGGCTTTGAAAAAAACATTGAGAAGAAAAACTTGCTCTAAAATAGTTACCAATGTATTTTAAGAGTTTCTATTCTATATTTCCACATTCCCAGCAAGACCATCATAAAAATCCAAGAAAACAGAGCAATAATGCAATTTAAATGGAAAATCCATTTGTAACAGAACTTTAAGGTCTTTTATTTGATACTAACGGGGAGAAGGGGAAGGAAAGCTGCACAGCTTACATTTTGGTTCTTTAAATAGAGACTGCTCTGAATGTGTCCCTTTAGGACTGACTCTTCATCCTGTGTTGCCATAGCCCTTTGTCAAACTACTGTTCTTAATGGATATTGTATACATGGTGGAGACATCCCCAGTAATTTTCCTAGTCTAGTTAGTGATTTAAGTGTAATAACATCAGTTGTGCAGCCGAAGTACAGTCTGCTTCTTGTGCCCTGGCTTCCATTTGCTCTCCAAGTAGAGGTTTTGATTATTCTTTAAATACTGGGATATTCAACATTCCAAAACTAGTAAGGTTGAAATGCCTCATTCTGCAGTGTAATGGGTTTCGGAACCGAATCTTAGTTCTAGTATGTTGAGTGTTGGAACTAAAGCGCTATACACTGTAACGACATTTCTGTCTTCTGTTTTTTTCAGAGCGTAAAACATTACTGAAGGCATAGCTGGCTAAAATAGAAAGCTGGCTATTTCAGAAATGTCTAAAAGTTACATCCTTTTTATAACAACTTAACATGTCTTGCATTTTGTTACTGGCTTAATATGGGATTTTGGCAGCAGGCCACACTTTGATCTCATACTCCAGCTCCCCTTTTTGCCCCCGATAGTCTTGTCTGTGTATTCTCACTCATCTGTCAGCAGTGTTGCTTGTGTGACCACATACTGGCTTGGAGTGGTTCACTGATCCAACTGAAAAAGTTGTTTGGCTTTTTTACTTCCTCTTTTCCTGTATGAAGCCAACTGTGAAATAGTACCCTTTGACAGAAAGGAATTTCAAGGTAGCCTGATGCTAAAGTTTTAGCTTTTTAAAATCAAAACGCATACCATGATGATTTTATGACTGCATACATTTCTTAAGGAATTTAATAATTATATGTAAGTTTAGTTAACTTTTTTAGATTCAGTAAAATATTTATATGATCTGGCAATAAATGCCTAGAGCCAATACAGATTCAAAATGCCTCATGGACACTGGAACTATTTATTTCTATTACTTGAACATATCTCGATAATTGAAAATGAAATTACATCTGTTTTAAAGCTCTGGGAAACAAATTTTTCTATAGCAATAATTAGTTGTCACTTGATGTGTAGTTGCTGAGCGTTTTAGTCGTGTTTAAATGTTGAGAGACTTGAATACACATTTTAAAGCGACAAATGTGTGTAAATGCACTATAAAAAAACTTGCAAAGTGTTTATCCTCTTTATTTGCATATGTTAAAATCTGTATTGGCAGGCGCTGCCTTACTTAATATTTTATACTTTTAATATGAAGAGATTGCATCCAATACATTCACTAGGTAAGCGTTTAATGAAAATGAAACAATCTATTTAAATATGTTGCTGCTGGTCATGATCTTTCTCACTGAAACTCAGATATGCACAAAAAGCTGTGTATTTGTGATGAGTGATGCTTGTGCTTGGAACATGCAATCTTTACTAGAAGATTGCTGTTTAACAATGTTTTCATGTTCATGTTGCGTTGTGTATGGTTTCAACATGGTATATTATGTTTGAATTGTACCTTCTATTTTTTTCTTCTATTAAAGTATTTGATTTTCTGTTTCTCTCTTTGTTGCATAATAAAGATGATCAGTCCCCTTGATGCTACTTCTTCCTTTCAGATGCTTTCTTAACTGAAGTACATGGTCAGTCATATGCCTTCACACTTTAAATTATTAAAATGGCATGTATGCTGCCGGAACCAATGAGTTGTGGCTCGTGATCCTCTCATGAGCTGACAAGTTACCTCACATCACATCTTAAGATCTTTCTGTGGGCAGAAAAGGTGATAGGTTGGACAAAACTCATTCGTGCTTCTTTTCTGCCTCCCATGTTCATATGTTGCTGTCCCATGTGATTTTAATAGAGAAATAACCTCCTGAAAGGAGAGAAGGTGTATGTAACACTCGAGGCCAATAGCAAAACCTTGTTATTTAAAGGTAAATTTACTAAGAAGTGATAATGTTTTTCTGAGTAAAGAATTGTCATTAAGTTTGGGCTGATTGCAGTGCTGGACCATCAAGGTGGCATCTAGATGGTTTATCCTGCCCCGTTTTTCTGAGGTGAAAAACCCTGTGGTTATTTTTTGTGCTTTTGCATTCTGAAGCACACACAGAAGAAGGTTATGAAAGTCAGCCAGTGTCTTATTTTGAATGCTAGGAATATAGCAAAAATATGTAATGTTACTTTTTATTAGTTTATTGTTCTTTCCACTTAGAATGTAGTTTTCTGAGCTCTGAATGGATTATTGTATCTTGTAAATCTGGCTATAAGCCCTTTGGTAGAGATTTTATTTAGTTTTCTTTTACTATAGCAATGCTTATTTCATTATTTAGAGAGAATGCTCTGGATGTGTTTAGTTCTCATTGGCAGTATGTTGGTTATAGGATACGTGATCTCTGCAGAGCTCCTCTTTGTCCTGCTCCAGTCCTAAGCCAGGGCTTCATTCCCAGGGACAGAGAGGGGCTTTGTGCACCCAGGTCGTCTTCTGACAGACAGGCAGGGCTAGAAAGCTTTCTGTGTTTGGGAAGCATTCCTGTGTCTTTCACTAGGGTCCAGTGAGATTTGAACACGTGAGTGTCTGTGAGGTCTCTGCTATAAAAAAGTACACCTAGCGTGTTCTTTTTATCTTTTGATTTATGCTGAAACACCCTCATTCATGGATGCTTTTAAGAGCTGCGCACTTTGCTGTGTCTTGTAAACACCATGCCGTGTGTGAAATGACTGCAGGACCTGGCAGCCAAGGTTGTTTTATTGCAGGCAAGCAGAGCTACAAGAGTGTCTGACAAAAGCATCTTCAGGGTTCTTTCAGAATTGGAGAAACTAGCAGTGAAAGGGCACGAACACTACATAGTCTGTTCTCGATACAGTGTGCATTTAAACTTGCTCTGGATGGGTTGCTTCTGTGTCCTGTTGCGGGTGTGTTTGAACATACGTAGGACACAAAATTCAGGGCCTCTACTATGAGAAGGCTTTTCAATAATGTTAAAATTGCCATGTCCCAGTGAATTACCAGACTTTTACTGGCGTCACAGCGTGGACTTTGTTTTTTCCTCATGAGTAAAGTTGGTCTGTGCTGTTTATGACTCTCCTCAAACCGTAGGTCTGCTTTGGGAAGAATCAGTTTTCACCTCTTTGTGTTCCAGCCTTAACCAGCCTTAGTCTATCTGTAACAATTTTTTTTTTTTTGGTACTAAATCCAAAACACAGCAGCTACTGGGAGGAAAATTAACTCTATCCCAGCCAAAACCAGGACACAACCCCAGCCATATGTTTCTGTTTTTGTAGACTTCATCAGGGAAGAACTAGGAGAGTAAATTTTGTGTTTATTCCCCCACTACCCTCCAAGATATTAGGATATTAAAAAAAAATAAAAAAAGAAAAAGTCATCATTGTCAAATGCATTCTGTGGAAAGCATCTAATTCAATTTTAAATATTTGCCTTAAATCTTCTGTATGCATTTAGGATGCATTCCTCAGCTTAATAAAGCTGTAGGTCATTTCCCAGGCCTTAGTGACAGAATACTGTTTTTATGAACTTGCTTAAGTTTATGAGGACACTTAGTCACTGAGGGAAGTGTTCCTCACTGTTACTTTATATTCTTTCTCTACAACAGAATCACAGAATGTTCGGGGTTGGAAGGGACCTCTATGGGTCATCTAGTCCAACCCTCCTGCCGAAGCAGGGTCACATACAGCAGGCTGCACAGGACCTTGTCCAGGCGGGTCTTGAATGTTTCCAGAGAAAGAGACTCCACAACCTCCCTGGGCAGCCTGTTCCAGTGCTCCGTCACCCTCAGAGGGAAGAAGTTCCTCCTCATGTTCAGACGGAACTTCCTAATCTTCAGTTTGTGCCCGTTGCCTCTTGTCCTGTTGCTGGGCACCACTGAAAAGAGTCTGGCCCCATCCTCTTGTCACCCACCCTTAAGATATTTGTAGGCATTTATAAGGTCCCCTCTCAGTCTTCTTCAGGCTAAAGAAGCCCAACT